AATAAATAAATCTTAAAAAAAATAAAATAAATAAAATAAAAACAATCACAGGGTTGGCAAGGATTTATAGAATCAGAACCCTTGTGCATTATCAGTGCAAGGAACGTGCAGACGCCTGCAAAAGCAGGATGATGGGTCCTCCAGCAGGTACCAATGGGATTGTTCTATGGTAGAGAAGCCGTGCCCCGCTCACGCTAGCACCGAGGGCCGTCTGTAGATGGGGTAGAGAGAGCCCAGGGGACCGCCGTGACCGCCGTCGGACTGGCAAGGGCTAAGGGAGTGGGTAGGTGGCGGGGGGGTAGGGGGAGCTTTGTCTCTGGGGGTGCTCAAGAATAAAATCCAACAGTAACATCTTCATTCCCAGTCCAGCCCTGCAGTTAGTATTCACAGCAGGATTTAGTGGACACTCCTCAAGAAGCTGTCATTTTCTGCCCAATCTGTCATTTTTTCCTTAAATAATGGTGGTGTTTTTTCTTTCACAAACCTTAATTTTCTGGTCAGTGGTGCAAAAGACGATGAAGGCATTTTGAATAGCAACGTGATCCATGTCCCTGTTCGAAAGGAAGCGGTCCAACCACCCAGGGGGCCTCTGGCCCTCAGAGTATGCAGAAGCTGTTGTGACCTCACCCAGTCCCACCCCGCATTTCTCGGTCAGGTTCTGTGGGTTGTGGACACATTATTCTGGGTCTCATGGCCTCACCTGTGAGAAGAGAATAGTAATAAAGTGTGTCTTTGCCGACTCTCTCGAGGTACTTCCCCAATTGTTCTGATGATTTGATTTTTCAGTGAAGATGGGGGAAAAAATCACAGATGAAAATGACATCTGAAAAGTTAAGAGCTGAATATGCGCACAGAGGGTGTAATTTTCCCTGCCTGGGAGGAAAAGAGTCTCATCTTTTAAAGTCAAAGCTTTTCAAGGATTACCAGCTCTTTTGCATCCAAATGTAGCCCACTTTTGCAGAAAAACACCCTCCCTTCTGTGACAGGGAAACAATCTGGGGATGGGAGACAGCCCTCAAGAACAACAAAGCCCTTCACAGTGCTCCTGGACAAGCTTTTGACTCTTTTTAAAGGATTGGGATGTGGGTCAATGTGTCCTTGAGCTGACCCTAGCCAAATGAAACAAAATATTTAGTGTAGGAGAGAGAAGACCAACAGTCCAGTTTCGATTTTCACGGCACCTTACTCTCAAGGGGAGAGTGGAAACAGGGAAAGCTTTCCAGGATTTTGACAATGTCCGTCCAGAAAACTTGGGGTTTGAGATAGGACATAATTTTTTAAAATTCAATTAAAGGGCCCAGCAGGGGAATAAGTTCTCTTTGGATCTTTAACAGGGTCATACACCCAAAAGCCTGCCAGACTGGCAGGTCATGGAAACTGTTAAAGCTGGCTGGGAGTGACAGCAGAGTCGTGTGGGCTGTGGCAAGCCGGACAGATCACAGGCCCTTCTCTTAAAAGCTGTTACTATCTCTGGAATATCACCACCATGTGGGGAAGTGCGGTCAGTATTACCGGAGCTTCTGGTTTTTCAAAGGAAATTATAAATCCAGGCTTTATATAAAATATACTATTTTCTTAACAAAAAAGTTAATTTTTTTATTTATACATACACGAGCTGGGGTGCAGACCAGAGGTGCGGGGCTGAGCATATTCACCAAAGTCAGAGTGGGGAGCAGAACAGGCAGATCCACTGAAACACACGGCTGAGGGGAGCAGCGGGGCAACAAGAGAGTTCTGCTGGGCCATGTGGGTCACTCCCTGGCCGGGGATCCAACTCATGCCGCTGCAGATAGATTCATTGTGCTGAAACTTAAACCCTTGCACCAACAGGGAGGCCCGAAATATCCCAATTTTCAAATGTATATAAACCATTGAAATTGAAGATTTAATTTTTTTTGTCTGCTGAAAGGTGGGAGTAGGGGACTGCTAGTGACAGTCACCCTTGAATACACACTATCCTAATGTCCCAAACACGCTACCGTTACTAAGTTGAACCCTTGTTCCCTACTCTGTACGATGCTGTGATACGATAAGAAACTCCGTATCGTGGATCCAGATCTAGCTAAGTAACCTCAGGGCCACACGGTCAGCAGATAGCACGCCAGGGTCTGACCAGCCTTTGCAGGGCACCAGAGTGGACATGACCAGCGGTGGGCAGTGGGGGGCTGGGCAGGCGGCTCCAGGTACTTGCAGGGAAGCGGCACTGTCTACAGACTTGTAAAACTGATAAAGATGGGCTGAAGGTTGTCCGGCTGCCCTCCACACTGCTCAGGCAACACGCAGCAGTGACGTGATAGATACACGCCGCGTCTCTGTTCCTTATCGCGCCGCGGTAAAGCGGATGCCGCTGTGAGAAAACTTCTCCAGGCAAGCTTTCAGGAATTGCCAAGGCTGCCGAGGTTTTTCTTTTAAAGCATTTTTTTTTTCATCGTGGTCAGAGGCAGCTGATACAAACCGTTCACCTCAGCCATCTTTCCAGTAGAGCTGACACTGTCAGCCGATCCTCAGGTGTCCCCTCGTGGAAAAGTAAAACTCCCTACTGAACGTCGGCGTCTTTTGTTTTTCAGTTGCAAACATCCTGGTGGCAGT